TAGAGAATATCTCAAGGAAAAAACAATATGGCTGCCACATAGAGGGGGAGGGGATTAGACCTCATTGTGCAGTGTATTTTTGTTTTAAAATAGCTGTATTATAAGAACCTAGAATATCGCTAGTCCGTGACCGGACACACTGTATACAAGTACGCTGGATTGGCTATCTCATACAAAATGACTGTGCTAATTTGCAGCACCCCTAACGGTCGTCTTGGAAACTAAAATTGACATAATATGCCAGTCTGCTGTCTTATTTAAATTGTCATATTTAAAAAATCTGTATTCTGAACTTTTAAACTAAAAAACGAAAGTATTTTATGTTATTTGATTGTGTATAATATTAGTTACATAAAGGAATTATTTTTTAGAGTATCTGTAAAACTCGTTACCAAAAGCGAAGTGGTATAACATTTCACAAGTAAGTGAATTTGCAGCTAATATTAAACAAATTAAAACTATTTCGTAATATAAGTACTTAAAAATGTGTTACTAATCTTAATATCATATATATCAACATATATATGGCTGTATATTACTGAGTTTTGGTAAACAATAAATTTCAATAGGTTTGTAGAGTTCCTTGTCTATAATACTTTATCAATGTTCTTTCTTACCCATATCTGTTAATAAAGTTGTCAACAACAGATTATTATTAAATGTTTATTAGTTAACAGGTTTCTAACTGAATTTAGACAAAAAATATGGCTTAAAAGCATAAATATTGTGAATTGGCGTCTGTAACAAAATGATCATATTTGTTCTGAACATTTCACAGACGACTGCTTTATTAGACATGAGAACTGCACCACTTTGAAAAAGTGCAGTTTTTCGATAATATTTTCTGGTAGTACCAGTACCAGTAAATATTAAAGTATTAGATTATTATTTCGAATGTTTTTTTTTTTATTTCTCCTTTTCTCATTTTCCCACAAACTCAAGGGTCATAGCCAAGTGTCGAAAGGTCACCTGATGATGACGAGCCACTTTGGATGTGTGTTAGTGGGCTGCGGCTGGAGGAGATTCCTCTCCTTGTACCGCTGTAGTCAAGGTGGAGTCGTCAGGGAAGAGGAGTGTTGGTATGGCGATTGGCGATGCGATGCCACTAGACTATCCTTCGCGACTTTGGTGAGGCCGCACCACTTGATGCTTCCAAGTGCCAGTTTTTTCCTGGCTTCATTCACATATCGGGCTCGGGGAGTCCGTAGTGGAGGTGAAGTCAAAAGCCGCGAAGGGCAGTGTGCCTTGTGTTTCTGGTGCGCCTTATCTGAGAAGAAAAACGGGGGGGGGGAGAAGTCAGCAACTAAGGAGGGGCTGCCATTGGGCGGCTGGCACCGGAGGGGCCGCGAATGTGCATGAAAGCGTTTCCGTGGCCCTTTCAATTTGCGGCGGAGGTGGAACATGGGGTGTTGTAAGTGCAAGTCTAGAGATTATATCTCTCTCGAATCTCAAGATTTAATTTGTGCTTTAACTTCGTAGTGGCCCTAACTTAGTTTATTTCTTATATTAGTATATTACAAATTCTGACCATCGTTTACATTCACGGTTTTTGGCAGCTTCCTCTTCCGCAAAATCCACCGACAAAGGCAATTAAGTGTTCGAACAAGAACCCATGGATTGCGATATGTCAAGCCCCCTAGAATACATGGCACTGCCGAAGCTGGAAAGCAGGAGGATAAACTGGAATGAGGATTGATAGAAGAGTGAAAACCTGGTAAGACATACAGGAAGTTGATGGATGCAGGTGGCTCAGGACAGTGCTTTGTGGCATTCCTTGGGGGAGGCCTATGTTCAGCAGTGGACTTGTGAAGGGCTTTAATGATGATGAATGATAGTGGCATCATATTAATGTCCTCCAGATCGAATTTCGGCCACGGCGGCCTGCCTCAACGGAGGCTAGCCATCGGCGCAGGACAGAATTATATTGCCCAAGTGAATGCGCAAGCACAGGTGCACTCTCTATCCCCTCACTCTCATAATCCGATTGGACGGTAAACCGACACGACCGGAGAGAGATCAGGCGCAGGACCAACAGCTTTACGTGCTTTCCGAGGCACGGGAGTGAGACACTGCCAACTTCCTGACTCCGGGCAACTACTGAGAATTTCTTGACGGAAAAACTCAATAATTAATTTTTGGCCCGACCCGGGATTAGAACCCAGGACGTCATGATCAGCAGTCGCACTACTACAACCACTAGACCAACGAGGCAGTCAAATTTTTTTAATAATTTTATTAACATATTTTTTTATTAATATAATTTTATTAGTATACAATTTTATTAATATGATACATAAATAGAATGTACGTTTCGGGTAGAGTCCATCTATCCATAGAGTCCATTCTATTTATTTAGGTGTAGGTAGGGTATAGAATTTTTATAGATTTATTTTGTCACACTGTCTTATCCCTATTATTAATTCCGTGGACGTGCACTTCTGCTGTCAGCGCCAAAATGGCGCAAATCAAAATGCCTTATCATGTCACAGTGTATAGCCAGTCCAGCGTACTTGTATAATATATAGAGGTCAGTGTGTACTCGCCATTGATGTTAATACTATAATATCCTTTCCAGTCCAGTAGCTTGAAAACATCTTCCAATGTAGCGGTGGAGAGTTTCGGGGATATAACGTCACCCTGTCTTACACCTGTCTGCAGTTGGATAGGTTTCGAACTCTGGTTCTGTACTCGGATAGCCATCGTAGCCCTACTGTACAAACAAACACTTCAGCACTTCGATATACCGACAGTCAACTTGGCACCGCTGAAGGGACTTTAGAACCACCCAAATTTCGACGGAATCAAAGGATACTTAATAATAGTCTACATACGCCAGGAAAAGTGGCAGATTGTACTGTTCGGTCTTCTGTACAATCTGCCGCAGGGTATGTATGTGGTCTATGGTACTGAAGCCTTTTCGGAAACCGGCTTGTTCGGGAGGCTGGAAGTCGTCGAGTCTGCGTGCGAGACGATTCGAAATGACTTTCGGAAACAGCACGTAGACGCGGCGCAGAAGGGAAATCGGTCTGTAGTTCTTCAAGAGAGCGTCGTCACTTTTCTTGAAGAACAAGACCACCGCACTTCTACTTCACGCCTTCGGAGTAGTGCCACCATCTAGGACGGAATTAAAGAGCTTCTGAAGAACTTTAAGTACTCGTGTTCCACCCGCTTTCAGAAGCTTCGCTGTAATTCCATCCTCGCCTGGGGCCCTGCCGTTTTTAAGGTGCTGGAGAGCCATTCTAATCTCGCTCAGAATGACGTCCGGGATATCATCGGAATAGTGTCGGATAAGACTTGCTTTTGGATCGTAACTCACACTTGCGTGTGGCGCCAACGATGATGTGTACAGCTGCCCGTAGAACGTCTCAATCTCACTCAAAATCTCAGGTGTACTGGAAACGATGCTGCCTCAGTTTTCAGTTTTGACAGTTGGCCTTTTCTGGCAGACAGATTTCTGGCAAAGACTTTGGAGCCCTGGTTCCGCTCAATCGCTTCTTCAATACGGGCTGTATTGAAGTTGTGTAAGTTTCGCCGCATGCATTTGGAGATCTGTCCGTTCAGTTGCCTGTATGCTGTCAAATCTGCTGATGACTGCAGCCTCATCTCCCGTCTAACAGCCATGAGATTAAGAGTGTGATCGGAGAGTTTTTGTGTTCTTCTGCGGCGGCTCTTGCAGAACTTAGCTCCGAACGCATAGACAGTTTCAACGAGCTTGTCATTTATATAATTTTATGTAACTCGAGCTGAAAGGTTTCGGGATTTTGGATTAGAGCACGAGGGGGACGGAGCGTTGACTTTATTAGACGAGACCTCTCCAACTTAAAATTTAGGTTCAGTGTGCCTCTAACCATTCTATGATCGCTGGCAGTTTTCACCCTTGCGATCACTGAGACATCACTGAACAGTTGCCGTCTAGTCGTCGGGGCTCGATCAGGTCCACTTTCTGTGAGGCCGCTTCTAGAAGAAAGAGTTCATCATAAAGAGTCTCTCTTTCTCCATTAAGTCGACCAGCTGCTGGCCCCTTGAGTTCCGTTGCCCTATCCCAAATTTCCCTACCTTCAGCTCACCGTTCTTTCTTGTGTATAATTTTGCGTTGAAGTCTCCCATCCCACCCATCAACACCGTATAGTGAGTTTTGGAGGAATGCATGGCTTTAGAAATATCCTCATGCATTTCCTCCACCTCCTCATCGGGATGTTCCGACGTTGGTGCGTAAACCTGTATGACCTTCAGCGAATACCGTTTGGTGATTCTGAGTGTAAGGTACGCAACCCTCGTCGACACACTCCCAATCTTTACAACGTTGTTAACGAGAGACTTGTGGACGATAAATCCAACACCTCCTTGGGACAGATGGTCGCCCTCCCGGCGATAGAAAAAGTTGCCGGATTCGAGAATCAGCGCAACTTGCCTATCTCTTCTTCCAGTTCGAGGATCTTCTCGTCAGTCCTCAGGGTGCGTGCGTTATATGTTGCCAGGTCGAGTCGTCGTAGGTGGCAACCGAACCTCCACCGGAGATTCTTAGCACCCCCTGCCCCGCCGTTACCATGGTCGCCACCGTAGCCAGGAATAGCGGGGCCGCCGGGGACTGGGGGCCGTCTATATGTGTAATTATTCATGGGGGGATTGCCATAGTTGCCACGCTTGGTGAGTGGGTTGGCAACCGCAGTCTTTTGTCGTACAGTTGCTGTTATCAGGAAGATGCTGCTGCCCATCTCCTGCCTGTCTCCCTCTGTCGCCCCTTACGACACCCACGGGAATATATGGGGTAGTGGATATTCTTAACCGCTACTACACGGCTAAAAGTTTAAAATTAAACGCGATAAAATCCATAAAAGTAGTTTTAATGAATGTGTAATGTTCGCGTAAATATAAGTAATAATTCATAGTCCCTTTCTTAAATGAGAGGTATGTGCCCAGTAATAGAACGTATACAAATAGAAAATAAAGTTTTTTATTTAGTAATTATTTTAAATTCTAATTTATACTTTACAACGTACCAAGAGGTGATCCAGGTGTGGCTGGCGTTCCGCCTAATGAAGAGACGCGGTGTGGAGTATGGCTAGCTGGAAATTAAAATCAAACAATTAACAGTGTAGCGGCGGTGTAATAATACACTATCCATAGAGAAACACGGGCCAAGGGCGGATCGTAGGGCAGTAGCCATACGCAGACGTTAGTCTTTAGAATAAAATAGTTGCAGTTGTACTGCCCACTAGACCAAATCTAGTTGTGCAGCTGAATCGACGTCAAAAAAATTTCGAATTGTTCAGTATTTTTGCTGCAAAAAGAGATTTGCCACGTCAAATTTACAAAAATTTACTTTTCTTATATAACTAATTTTTATCCACATTTTTGCTTTTTATTTGTTTTTAATCTTTGAATATTACAATAATAACGTTCTTGTTGTTTCGAATTTATTTACCAACATAGGCCACCCGCCTAGGACACAATATGCAGATCGGTCGAGCGACTGATACGAGTCTGTATTCGCGTTGTTGTTTTCGCCAAGCGATACTGTTATTATGTATCTATGTGTGCATGTATGAAATTGTAAGTTCATACATGTATACACGTTTTAATTGAAAATTGAAAATCTTTATTGCAACAAAAACGAATTTATATATATCATTGTGACCCTAGCTCCTATAAAAGGTTAACCTGAGTAACAGGAGCTAGTTCCTTCCTAAATTTTACAAGCTTTTGTTGAATAAAAACACCAATAAATATTGGCCCACACACACGTATGTTTTCGTCTACGCATATTTCCCCGCAAAAAATGACAGATAATTCTGTATCGGGGAAAACGTAGTGACTACTCCCCTCCGGTTCTACGGACCATGTTGCTCTATGTCCATTATCCAATCCAATACAATCATATCGTCCCGTGGGTGTCGTAAGAGGCGAAAGAGTGTAACTAAAACAGGAGATGAGCAGTAGCATCTTCTTGATAACTAAAAATTATATAAAATTTTCATTTGCCAAGCCGCCTGCCAAACGTGGCAACTACGGCAAATATCCACCCTATGAGGAAATAAATGGAGAAAATCTATGATTAACAAATTTGATCTAATCATAGAAAAAAATTACCAGTATATAACATAGGCATCATACATAGCCATTTCATTTAGATTAAAAAACAATAGGCCTATTTGCTAACTTCATTGATATCAGAATGGTAGTCACTTTATAGTACATTGCGTCGTATGCCATAAGAGCTACCACAGCTTATAAAACATTAACATTATAGCAAGATTTTCTTACTGTGAGCACAGGCTCAACGAGCCGGTAAAAATGAAAAATGCAATGGAGATACGAAGGATGCCCTTTTAATTTTAAATATCTATTTTCGAAATCCCCATTATTAGGGCAGGGTTTTGTTCAAAACTAATTTTTACATCATAGGGTGAAAAAATAAATAATCCTAAATACGACAACCCTATTATTTAAATATAACACACCAAAAAAATTTTTTATATAGAATAAGGGTGACAAACGAGCACACAGTCCACTTGATAGTAAGTGGATACTGTGGTCCATAGACGTCTAAATTTAACGTCACATGTTTACATTTATCATTGTCACCTCCGAGGACTAAGACGGATGTCTCGTTTCTAGTAAAAAAGTGCCTCCAGATCTTTACACTCACCATACGAAATACAGCAGTAGTAAGCTGCTATTTTACGCTGGAATTCTGTGAGAGCGTGGTCGTTCCCCGGTCGAGCAAGCCATTCCAAGCCAAGCCAAGTTGTAGCACACAACTATAATGTAGCTACAGCGTGGCTCTACCACGTATAGCACAGGCTGTAGAAATTGTATGAGAGTACAGGTAATAACGACATAATGTATTAGGCAAATAATACGACGTGTAGTGTCGGCTTAAAAGATACCACCATCTGATTTTGTGAAAAGTGGTTTCTCATAATGCGATTATGGGAATCGACAGAAAAGCTTATGGCTTCCGATAAATGGCGGAAAAACCATCTCAATTACGCCTGCCATAAATTATTTAATAATTAATTCAATAAGAGAGGGACATGTCCAGGTGTAGACTTAAACTAGGTGATGAAAAGGAAAAAGAAATATTCTATTTGCATATTTTAAATACTAAATATATAATTTAAATTTCAATTGAAAATTATTTAAGTTAAAAATTCTTAAAAAAGCAAATTCGAATTCGAAAAACTATGTGGTATGAGTTGAAGGGTGTGCGAACTACCCAATTCTCTATGATTTAGGAGAGCTCTACAGTAATGGACTGCACTTTTACTCAAAAGTTTTTAAATGTTTTCGTATTTATATACGTAGACGTGCGTGTGCGTGAGCGTACAAATGTGTGTGTGTGTTTGAATGCATATACTCTTGTACGTATGCATATGGATATGGAGACGCTCGAATGTGTGAGAGTTTTCAGTTTACCTGGTGGGCTTGCTGCCAATTGAGGTGAACTGCGACCTTCACGCCGCCCTGACGAAGACCTGCTAAAAATCAAATGGTTTGTTACTCTTTGTACAATTTTTATTTCATTCATTCATTAATATATTTTATAATATATAAAATATACATATATCGTAGTACATATTTATTACAACCTATTAAATGTCCACCGCCAAACATAGACGTTTTCCTTATTTCACCACATAGTGGATATTTTTTTACTTTTGATAATCCAGTGCTTGACCACAACGCCACCGGGTGGTAAGTGGTGATGCAGCCTTAAATGGTAAATCGAACTGTTTTAGCGTAAAAAAGCAAATTATTCCACTGCTTTGCTGTACGCATTAAAAATGTCGAAGTAAACCGTTTGGTTCTAATGCGTGGAATATCGACAACAAAGAGGTGAAGACCCGCTGACCGCCTGGTCATCCGATGGTGGAATTAAAGCGTCCAATTCTAATATATTTATAAAAATTCTAATAATATTATTAATAATAATATTCTAATCCTATGCCTTTAAACGAGCAATTCTTGTATATATATATAATTGGAATCTCGGAAACGGCTCCAACGATTTTCATGAAATTTAGTGTCCAGGGAGGTTCGGGGGCAATAAATCGTTCTAGCTAAGGATTTATTTTTAGAAAATGTATTTTTGTACGTGTTTTCAGGCAATGAAAAACTGCTACAATATAAATATTATAAATATAGGTAAATTTTGACACTGTGTTAATAATCAATTAAGTTACGTTCAATAAATGGTAATAGCTCAAGTGGATATCGAGCGGTCGCGAAATCGTTATGCCTTGGTTCGCGTCCTGTCTGTCCTGTCCGATTTTTTTCCTTTTTTTTTCAAGTTCCCTTCTTTTGTGAGAAAATATAGGCTTTTTTTTAGTATTTTTAAAAATACGAAATTTTTTATTAAACTAATTGCACTCATGATTTTTTATTCAAATAACCAGTTCAGTTTTTTCTATTATGTCAATAAGATCAAAAAATATTATTCATCAGTATGTAATTTGTATCTAAATGTAATTTCAAAAAAATAATCCGGGTACTAATATTAATAATATATTTAATATATTTACCATAATTGCCACACTTTTACAGAAACGTGAGAAGAGTGGAATTACATTAACTTGGCATTCAGGTTGCAAGTAGCAGTTGTTTGTTACTTTAACTTTTTTTAAAGTACTTGCTACGACCCATTCTGTTTTATTTCCCCCTTTCGTCACTTAAGACACCCACGGGATAGTATGGGATATAGGATTCTCTTAGGTCGCTTTTACTTGTTTTTTTTTTGACGTAAAAACGAACTTTCTTACTTATTGCTGGACGGCTAAACTGAGAGTAACACAATTATCTACTGGCAAAGCAACGACAACACGTAAATGTACTTTAGACTAGTCTATAATTATGTATAGTTATGTCCGTCGACTAATTAACGTGACGTCTTTTAACACAATCATGTCGTTTGATCGACTTGTCGATGAACGACAATAGACGCTCTTAGTTTAAGTTACGTTCAATAAATGAGACGATAACCCATCGCTAGTGGGTCGGCCATAGAATTTGTAAAAGTAAAGTAAAGTAAAGTAAAGTTACAGCCTATATACGTTCCACTGGTGGGCAAAGGCCTCCCCTCATTTCTGAGAAGGTTTTAGGGCAAGGAAGTGTCCGCCGCGCTGCCCCAATGCGTGTTGGCGAACTGAAAGACATGTAATCTTCGAAATATTTTTTTCTTATTCTTTAGACGTTCAGGTTTCCTCACGATGTTTTCCTCCACCGCCGAGCACGTGGTAAATCAGCACTCAAAATTGCAATTAACAATTTCATTGGTGCCGGCGGGGATCGAACCCGGTTTGCCCGCGTACTGTGAAATTTACAGCGAGCGCTAACCATCTGAGCTACCACGGCTACGATAGAATTTGTAGTACCGTCAAATGTAGGAAAAAACAGTTAACTACCACTCAATAGATGGAGTGACATCCCGATGTTCTTGACTTGCAGACATGAGGTGTAGGGAAATAGATGCAGTTGGTTGTTAGACCCTTTCAGTGTCATAGAGGCAGTTGATGCACACAACGCGTCTGCATTTTGATTATCATCTGAGGATTGATGCGGTTTTCTATCCATAAATTTCATATTTACACGTAACTAAAAACTACACAGTTGTTTGAAAATCAATTTCACCTACCTAATCTGTGATCTCCTTGGCGTAATTGGCGAACCCTCACTTATCTGACCAAAATGGGCTGACTGACCATTTACCTTTTGAATAACAATTCAGATATTATTTAAGGTTTTTTAAAAAATGTATAAGTAATTGTTTATTATTATAATATATTTAACTTCAACATAATAAGTCTGATTCAAATACAAACTAGCAGAAGTGTATCTATAAATAAATACTACATATCATCTAGGCATTCAATGTCAACCGTATGGCAGTGAATAAATATCCACCAACGCCTTTATCCCGTGTGTGTGGTAAAAGGAAATACTAGAAAGACCTCATTGCCTCCGATCCTTTTTTATAGGGGAGGAGGCATACGGCTCACCTGATGGTAAGTGACTAACGCCGCCCATGAACAACTGCAACATCAGGGGAATTGCAGGTGCATTTCCGACCTTTTAATAAGGAGTAGGCTCTTTTCTTGAAGGTTCCTAAGTCGTATCGGTCCGGAATAATCTCTGGTGGTAGTCGATTCCATAAGGAAGTTGTGCGATGAAAAAACTTCTTTTAAATTGCACAGTGGTTGACCGCCAGTCATCCAGGTGGAATAAATGGTATCACGAGTTTTGTGGCGATGTGCGGTGGTGAAATTGCGCGGCTGGAATTAGTCCGAAAAATTCCTCACAGCACTCCTCGTAGTAAATGCGATAAAATTGTTGAGATGCAACATCTTTTCGAAGTGTCAGTGATTCAAGCCGATCGGAAGGAGCTCGGTCGCCGACGATTTGAACAACTCTACGCTGGATGTGATTAAATGGAAGGAGCCGGAACTGGGGAGCTCCAGCCCAGAGATTGGAACAGTATTCCATGTGCGGCCGAATCTGTAACCCCTATCGGTCCGTAATTCCACTGCTGATCGTGAGCCTCTCCCATTGTAGGGAGGATATGTCTCAACGTAGCGCTACATAAGCGAATTGACGGGTGTAGTATCAGGTATTCGCAACTTTGCCGCCGCTATCCTTCACCGATCTTAGTCTGACCTAAACGAGATAGTGGTGTCAGTACACCAATATTCTATGGCAAATATGGGGAATATTTGCCATAAGTCCCCACGTTAAGTAGTGGATTTTAACTGTAATTAATGAATTAATGATGGTGATAACATCTTAAAGGAGCGAAAAGGAAAACGGGTTTAATTTTTTTTTTATAAACTCTCACGCCTGTCACACAGAGGGGTAGGCAGAGACTACAGACTACCGTTTGGAACGATCCTGACACACCTCTCTCGTCTCCTTCACGTCCATATACCAACGCATACACGCTCGTCGGTTAAGAGTATGTACTCCCAATTTGGCCCGTTTTCAATAAAATGTTAATTTGGTCGATAAATTTTCGCCTAGGACGTCCCTTTCCGACTCTGCCATTCACTTCTGCAACATAAATTTTCTTTGTCATTCTTTCCTTATTCATTCTTTCCACATGACCAAACCACCGAAGCATTCCTTTCTTAATCCTGGTCACATCATCTTGCAAACCACACTCTTCTCTTATCACACAATTTCTCACCATGTCATTCAAATTCAGCCCTAACTAATACGGTATGTTAGGGCTGAATTTGAAACTTACTCCGAAAACAGGTAATAGATTCATAATCATAGCGACTAAAGAGAAGGCAGTCCGCAGTCGTGCCACTGTTACTGTACCATCGTAGCAGTGCCCTCTATGTACGTTCTGTGAAGCAAACCCAGTGTAGATTAAACAAACACAGTTATTATCCCCTGTGAAACCTATAATAAGTCTAAGGATAATTTGACGGAAATATACCGGATGTCATTCAAAATCATACAAAGTCTTATGACTTCCGATAGATGGCAGTTCATCTATCGGAAGTCATAAGATTTTTTGTAATCAAGAACCGAAATTTTCCATAGACTTCTCTTACAATACCAACGGAATAAAATGGGCCTGCCTCCCATAGAATGCGCAATGATATGCGGATTGGCATCCGCAGTTTTTTATATTTTGGAGTTGTTATTAAGAAGATGCTGCTGCCCATTCCCTTTTTTAGTATGTTTTAGATATGGGAAAGTGGATATTCTTACACTGCCAAGTCAAGTATTGGTAGGTCTAGGTGGTCTAGGTATAGGTGGTCAAGTATTTTTACGATATGTAAACTACTCGGACCAGCAGAGGACGCATCATATAAGGCGCAAAACGCTACAGCATCAACAATCCATCTGCAAAGCATGGCGATTATGACACATCACCCCTACTAGACCAATATACAGCGGTAGACTGTTTATAATTTAGAGGCAAGGAGAGTATGAAATTTACTTCCAACTTACTAGGCACTTATATCTCATTAGAGACTGCTCAGACTAGAGATGAAACCAATATAATATTCCACATGACTTAAATTAGGCGGCTTACTTCAAACAAAATCGAGTTCTAAATCAATCGAATTTTAATTGAACTTAAGGTAATATCATACTCCCAAAACCGTAGCTAATGTACAATCGAAACATGGTTTAAAATGGTATTATCAGAACGGAAATCTTCAGCTATCCATTGCTAGATGGCGCTCTTAGTCGCAAATGAGGAAAATTATTTATCTCGATAAAGGAGATAATCGTTTGGAAGACCCGCTACACAATTTAATGTAACACATTTAAAATATACCAATTCATTATAGTAAACGGACTAAAGATTTTATGAAAATCTAACCGCGATTATGAAATCTGAAAAGAAAATAATTGTTTTGATAGTCATGTTATATGAAAAAATATGCGGCGCTGTCGTCGCCCCACAAGCGAAACACATCGAAGCCTAAATCGCGTTATCAAAGTTCCGAATCAAAAACAGTATATATATATAGAATAGCTCCGAATTATGACACGGAGTGTTGGCCGCTCCCCGGACAGAACACCTTGCCCTGCGGGAGATCTCCCCTTTTCCTTCCACCGCCAAACATGTAACGAAGCATTTTTGCAAATTGTGTAATAAAAAGAAATATTTTTGAAAACGATAGCTTAATATAGACATATATTATGTATTTGTATTGACATATTATTCCTTAGTAGATTAATACTCATTATTCAATCAATACATGTAAAAAATAGTTTCCACACCAAGTTTGTTTGTCTGTGCACTATGTTTTTCCGGAACTACTAAAATGATTTTTTTATTAATTCTCGAATAATATTAAATATACGGAAGGAATTTATAAGTACTTTAAGATTGATGTAAAATTCATGAATTTTAAAGTACCTATAAATGCTGAGTGTACCTACAACTTTGTTTTGTACTATTAATTATTAAACAATGCACTATTAACTTAGAGTACAAGTGAAAACTAGTAGACAATCACCTTAAGTTTGTTTTTAGATTATTGTGATATTCATATTTTAATTATTTATTTCGGTAAATTGGATGCGGACTATAGGAAATAAATCAACATGCAACATTTTATTAAGTTACGCCACAATTTGTGGTAGGTCCATTCTCCATACAAAAAGAAATTGTCTCCTTTGTCCTACAGAAGTAATATAAATATTTAAAAAAGTGGACTTTCAATTTATTAAAAGTAATCTCCGGATAAAAAGAATATCCAGATGTGTCAACGCTAATAAAGATTGATCAAAATACGATTGTCTTTCTTGATTTGACTTGGAGTAGTTGTTTTTGTTTCGAAAAGAGCGTCACTTCGAATAGAATTGGAAAACAATTTCGGGAGTAAGCCCTCAACTTCGAAACAAAGTTAATTTTAATCGAAAACAGAATCGAATTAAAAATGAATTTCTGGAGTATACCTACTCCAGAAGCTTGCAGAATCGAATCATCTCAAAATGAAAAATTTATTAGTATGTAGGTAGTCACTTCACGGCACATGTTATTAGGTACTTAATTAGTATCATAAGGTGACAGGGTCCTGAGATTAATTTATTCGCTAAATAGGTCGCCAAGACGAGTGGGCTTAGTTCACCAGTTCGCCAACCAAATCATAATATGTTAAAAATATAATTTATACTTTCTTAATTTTTAGTAAGGGTTAATACATAAACAAACCCGGCAAGTGTCGAGTCGTTTTCGTGGCGGATCGGCGGGGGTCGCAGGGGCCGGGGGGCGGGGCTCGTCATCTCTTGCGGGCCGTCGCCGTTTTCTCTCCAACAGAAGAAAGTAGATAACCTTTTCCGTGTTGTGACTGAAATAAAAATTGTTTTTTGATTGAATGTTTATATATAAAGGGAGGGGGGGGATATTAATGTTAAAATTTTACAAGGGGTCGCTCGACAACTGATGCTGGTGTTGAGCTGATTAAATATATATTTGATGCATGGGAGAATTCACAGGATGCTTTGGGTGTATTCTGTGACAAATCCAAAGCCTTCGATTGTGTTCACCATGAAACATTAACACCATTATTTACACAGGAAACTTCAACACTACAGTGTAAGAAGCGATGCTCTTAAATTAATTATTTCATATTTAAGTGACAGAACGCAAAAAGTTGTCATTAATAGTACGAGTTCTTCCGGGTCGATTGTACAAATGGGCGTGCCTCAGGGCTCAATTCTCGGCCCTTTTCTATTTCTAGTACATATTAATGACTTACCTTATATAGTAGGGGATAACCATGATATAGTATTATTTGCTGATGATACTTCATTAATTTTCAAATTAAAACGACAGTTATTAAATTACGACGAAGTAAATAATGCTATAGCTAAGTTAGTCAATTGGTTTAATGTTAATAATTTGCATTTGAATGGAACTAAAACTAAATGTATGAAATTCCTAACTCCTAATGTTAAACATGTCAATACTAATGTAATTTTAAATGGGGGGCAACTGAGTCTTGTTGATACCACCATTTTTCTTGGAATCACACTGGACGCAAAGCTTCAATGGCTCCCCCATATATCAAAACTAGCTAGCAGACTTAGTTCTGCAGCATATGCTGTGAAAAAGATTAGAACTCTTACCAGTGTTGAAACAGCTAGAATAGTTTACTTAAGTTATTTCCATAGCATTATGTCGTATGGTATTTTGCTATGGGGACACGCGACTGACACTGAAATTATATTTATTTTACAGAAGAGGGCCATTAGAGCAATATATAATTTAAAACCAAAAGAGTCACCGAGACAAAAATTTAAGGAAATTAATATATTAACTCTGGCCTCTCAATACATTTATAAAAATGTACGTACACAAAAAATAAAAGTAGTTTTGCGAAAATAAGTGATATTCATTCTGTAAATACTAGGAACAGACACAAGCTAGTAGTACCAGTTACTCGACTCCACAGAGTCAGTAATTCATTCTTGGGGCGATGTATACGCTTTTACAACAAAATCCCAGAAAATATACAAAATTTGTCATACACGAAGTTCAAAAATGTTATTAAACTAAGTTTGTATAAAAAGGGTTATTATAATATTAAGGAATTTATGGATGATAATAACCCCTGGGAAGGGTGATCGCTACCAAGCTATTTCTAATTTGTCTTGTGTTGTTTATTGTAAACATTATTGTAAGCTATTATTGGAAAAAAAATAGTCCCGCTGGGTTTCTTGCTGGTTCTTCCCAGGACAGAGGTTTTTTTTGCGAACCAGTGGTAAATGAAAAAAGTGACTTTCAATAAGTATTGTTATAATCTACATTGAATAAAAAAAGTTTCTGTTTCTGTTTCAATGGTTCGAATCTGATTTCAATAGGCAAAATTTGTGCGATTATGAGTATTAAATATCTGCGCACATATGGAGTATTAGGGCAAACAATGAAACAATTGCTCCAGTGGTGATGTGAACCTCAATTTTTGAGTTTTGTTAGGCACCTTGAGACACTATTGTCATATTGTATTGGCTGTCACTATTTTCATTGATTGTCACGTGGCTCAAGCTGCCATCAAAACTTCTAAAGACTTCGCAATGTGACGAATTAACATATTGTAAAGAAGTTATAAAAAAATATTATAAAGTATAATTACTTATTATTTGCCACCGGCTAAAGTACAGCCATACGAGTCCATTACCAAAGAAAGGAAGAAAGAAAGATAAGCACTCGTCTTTCTCGAGGTGGGTCTAGAGAGGGCTAGAGGAGCCGAGCACAAGCTGAGCCGCTGTACTCGCAGTGTCAAGTGTGGACGTGCAACAAGCTTTCTTCTTCTTCTTAAGGTGCAGTCTCCTTGCGAAGGTTGGCAATCATTAGGGCGATTTCAACTTTTGAGACCGCTGTTCTAAATAGTGATCTTGTGTTCTTCTCGAACCACTGGCGCAAGTTCTTCAGCCACGATATCCTTCTGCGGCCAGGCCTCCTTCTGCCTGCCACGTTTTAACATTGAGTTACTGCGGTGAGGATCGTGGGTTTGAATCTCGCTCGAAACAAATATTTTTATAGCCTACAAATAAGAGTTCTGGATCTGAATGTTTTTCCTTTGCAATTAACGTATGTGGTAAACTGCTTTCATGATACAGGGTAAATCCTAACGTTTTTTAATAAATAAAATATTTAATTATTTTATTTAAAAAAAAAGAATGATTTATAAATCTTCAAACAGCAAAAATTTGTAAGGCTAGCCGCCTTAAAGCAATTGTATGTCATCCAGTATTACAAATATTTAAAATTTAAGTTAAAAAAAGTGTTAAACTAATATCCCATATTCTAAACAAAAGCCATGAAAAATACAATTATACTATAGGGATTGGCTCTGTACAAACTCACTAAATAATTGATTGTCTTTTTGAGTGTATATAAATAAATAGACAAATATAAACAGAAAACTTTAAAAATCCCCGAAACAAAAGAAACTGATGATTTTCAAACGGTTAAACCAATTTTGATAAAACATGTCTAAGAACTACCACACCAGTAAACCTGCTTTTAAATAAAAGAACAGAACACAGAGGCTATTGTGCACACACTGATAGACAGACACACAGGGTCAAACTTACTCTGGTCATTTGAGTAATGTAATACTAAAATATAAATATACAATAGAAGCGACAGTATAATATACAAGCTGATACTTTCTCGCTTCGCTGGGCGCATGATAATATTTTATTGCAGAGCCTACATCTAATATATATATGTATATATATAGAATATAGATGTAGACTGTGCAATAAAATAATATCATACGCCCATCGAAGCGAGAAGGTATCAGCAACACCAGGAGAATTGCAGGTATGTTGCCGGCCTTTTAAAAAGGAGTAAGCTTTTCTTAAAGGTCCCTAAGTCGTATCGGTCCGGAAAAATCACTGGTGATAAACAGTTCAACAAAGAAGTTGTATGAGGAAGAAAACTCCTCGAGCCTATCAGAAAGAACTTGGTCATCGAAGATTCGAACTGCTCTGCACAAAATGTGGTCAAGTGGAGGTGTGTGTGTATATATATATATATATATATACATACACACATATATATGGATATTGATTTTATTTGATCTACTACCAAATTCCTATTTGCTGCTTATTTTCAGAGACATTCTATTAAAACATTACAACACTAGACTAGACCAATATTGACTGCCCCTTTGGTCTAGTGGTCATAAGCGCAACTGTGCCTTGTGTCTGGCCTGAATCCATAATAGGGTTTCTCTATCTCAGCGGTAGCCCGGAGCTGGGAAGTTGACGATTTTCCCTCCTTTGCTTAGAAAAGGATGAAAAGATATGCATCCTGCGCCTAAACTCTTTCTGGTGGTGATAGATTACCATCCCATCAGACTATGAGCGTCAGGAAATAGTGTGCCTATGCTTGTGCACACTTTCATTCACTGTTGACCTGTTATGCGGATATGCTCCACTGGGACTGGCTGCAGTGGCCATTATACAGTCCGGAGCACATTACAATTATTATTCAGTGTAACCTCCATATAACGAGACTGAAGGGAATTAGAAAATATTTGTTATACCAAGTAATTTTTTATATTGAGGTTAGGTGGGACTACGATTTTAACAAGGTAAGTAAAGATTTCTTATATTTACGCGAACACTACACATTGAAATAATACTAGTTTTTACGGAATTTATCGCGTATATTTAACTTTTAATACCCGACGTTTCGAACGCTTTACAGCACTCATGGTCACGGGCAGGACTGAGATGTTCAACATCCATATGTCATAGTTAACCGCGGTTACCATAGATTAAAATTTAACTTTAGTTCCGATCTATGCAGTATGAACTTATGGTATCTTGAAGTCTTGCAGTTGTATGCTTGGGTTGGGATTTAATTTTATTTATTATAGGATCCCAAGCAGATGGTAGCACCCAGCCATCTTCTCTATTGAAATTAGGATGTTTTTTGATTTCAATAGCCTCGCGAATCATCCTTGGAAGGAATCGGTGTTCTTTAGCGAGGATCTGCGGTCTATCAAATCTGATGTAGTGACGGGGGCGATCCTCAGTGCCTAAACCGAATCTTCCCAAAGACGAATTTATAGAGTTAAAGAACCTACGCAATAAACACGAACTTACGATTCTGCGCGCAGATAAGGGCAACGCCACGGTAGTCATGGATACGTCAGATTATAATTCTAAAATACAAGAACTTTTGTCGGATGTAAGTACTTATAAAAAAGGTTAAAAACGACCCAACAAATAGCACACTAAAAACAACTAGTGACCTCATAAAGAAACACTCCGAAAAATTAAATCTGGACGTAAAATGGATAATACCTACGTGCGCCAAATCACCAAAATTGTATGGGTTACCAAAAATACACAAGCCCAATGCTCCATTACATCCCATAGTGAGCCAAATCGATTCACCAACTTACAGATTGGCTCAACACTTAGCGAAAATACTCTCACCACTCAGGGGACATACAAGAGCACACATAAAGGATTCCTACCATTTTGTCAGCGAGATTAAAGACCTACATCTGGCAGACAATGAAACTATGGTCAGTTTTGATGTGCAGTCATTGTTTACATGCTTACCTGTTGAAGACTGCATCTCAATTGTAACTAGAAGGCTGGAAGAAAACAATATGCCCATAGAATATGTAGTATTACTCAGACACTGCCTTACATCTGGCTACCTATTGTGGAAGGAGGAGTTCTACAAGCAAGTAGATGGTGTGGCGATGGGCTCACCTGTATCTCCCATTGTCGCAGACATATTCATGGAAGACTTTGAGGAGAAAGCCCTGCTTAGTTCTCCCATAAATCCAAGGTTCTACAAGCGGTACGTAGACGACACTTTCACAATTCTACCTTTAGATAAAGTAACTGCATTTTTAGACCATCTTAACTCTATAAATTCTAAAATTCAGTTCACAATGGAGTTAGAGGCAAACAATTCCTTAGCTTTTCTAGATGTGTTAGTAATTCGGAATCCTGATAACACCTTGAGCCATACTGTGTATAGAAAAAAGACCCATACAGATAGATATTTAAACGGTGATTCTCACCACCATCCTTCACAGTTAGCTACCGTGGGTAAATCTTTGTTTCAGAGAGCACGAGGGATCTGTGACAGTAAACACCTGGCTGCAGAGCTCCACCATGTCAAGCAAGTTTTACATGACAACAAGCTTCGAGTCCCGCGCCTACGTCACAGTGAACGAGTGAAGCCGGCCACAGTCGAGCATGTACCTGCTGTACTGCCATATGTTACGAGGAGTCACTGACAAGATTGGCTACATCTTGAAGCGCATCAAATCATAAAAATAAAAAATCATCAAAACATACTTCAAGCCGCTGAAGAAGATTGGTCAGTTTTTACAATCGGTCAAGTGTAATGTCCCTCTGCAAGATGCAGGAGTGTACATGCTTGATTGTGAATGTGGTCTCTCCTACATAGGACAAACTAAAAGATCAATAAAAACCCGCGTTAAAGAACATATAGCTGATGTGAAGAATCGACGCTCCGGGAAGTCTGCAGTCTGTGAACACGTACAGGATCGCCCCCGTCACTACATCAGATTTGATAGACCGCAGATCCTCGCTAAAGAACACCGATTCCTTCCAAGGATGATTCGCGAGGCTATTGAAATCAAAAAACATCCTAATTTCAATAGAGAAGATGGCTGGGTGCTACCATCTGCTTGGGATCCTATAATAAATAAAATTAAATCCCAACCCAAGCATACAACTGCAAGATTTCAAGATACCATAAGTTCATACTGCATAGATCGGAACAAAAGTAAAATTTTAATCTATGGTAACCGCGGTTAACTATGACATATGGACGTTGAACATCTCAGTCCTGCCCGTGACCATGAGTGCTGTAAAGCGTTCGAAACGTCGGGTATTAAAAGTTAAATATACGCGATAAATTCCGTAAAAACTAGTATTATTTCAAAGTAAGTAAACTCGTTTATTAACCTCAACTTTACATACTAAGGACTTAATGTGTCTGAACCTGTCAAGACATGACTTATTGTGGAATTAAGTGTTCCAAGTTGAAAAGAGTCATTTAATAGAGGTAAATGATACCTTTTATCTATGTTTTGCAATGATTAAAATTTTTTTATAATGAGGTTGTTGATAAATGTATTCATAATATAGAGGTATATTTTCTGCCCTTACGGGAGTTATTAATCGAGGAATTTGTTGTATTGAGACTCGTTTCGTTATATCAAGGTAACACTGCATATTATATTATGTTTATAGTGTTGTAACCGTACAACTAAAGAAACAATATAATTAAGTTTAATGTAATCGCAGTTTCCTTTGTAGTTCAATTACCATAAGATCTCTTACTTCCATTCTTTCTTTGATATAGCTATAATATTATTAAACAAGTGACTTTTTTAAATTTTGTACTAATAATAATATTTAATATACAACTTTTTTTAATTCCACATTGTCATCCGATTCTGAGCTATGTTCAAAAATTCAAGTCTCTGGCTCACTGGGAAGTTAGTTTAAAATCATCAGCTAAATTCCATCCAAACAGGCATATACAAAAGTGAAATGAATAAAAACAGATTTAGAATGTACTGTCATCAAGTTGCGAGCTACCCTGAAAGTTTCAGTTCGATAGCTAATCAGGAAGTGTTCGAAATTTGATAGATTTCACCCGGAACGATAGACAAACAAGAAAGTGACTTAATAAAAACATGATAAAAAGCAAATCAAACTTACTGTGGACTAAGTAACTCCTGTATTAACTTATCCCTCTGTTTGAAGCAACCCAAACTGCAAATAGCTTGCAATACATCAGGATCTATCGCATCAGCAGAAGGTAGAACACGGGTCTGGACAACCTCCATCATAGGGAGTTCCTGCTCCAACTCCCCACGACCACCAGCAGTTACCCATGGGTGTCGAGTAATCTCTGCTAGCTAAAAATTAAATTGAATCAAACAAAGAAAAACAAATAGCAGTATATCAGCAATATCATAGTGATTTTCTGTATTTTTAATCTGCATTTTGATTCTAAATCGAGGATAAATGTAGATATCTATGGGCCACAGCATTCACTTATCACCAGATGGACTGTGTGCTTGTTTGTCACTCATATTCTATTTAAAAAAAAAGTGATACAAAATGTGCGTGTAATTTCTATTGCTATGATATCATGATAATGGTGACAAGAATTGCTCATAGTGATTTTCTGTATTTTTGCATCTGCATTTTGATTCTAAATCGAGGATAAATGTAGATATCTATGGGCCACAGCATTCACTTATCATCAGATGGACTGTGTGCTTGTTTGTCACTCATATTCTATTTAAAAAAAAAGTGATACAAAATGTGTGTGTAATTTCTATTGCTATGATATCATGATAATGGTGACAAGAATTGCTCATAGTGATTTTCTGTATTTTTGCATCTGCATTTTGATTCTAAATCGAGGATAAATGTAGATATCTATGGGCCACAGCATTCACTTATCACCAGATGGACTGTGTGCTTGTTTGTCACTCATATTCTATTTAAAAAAAAAGTGATACAAAATGTGTGTGTAATTTCTATTGATATATCATGACAAGAATTGACAAGAATATGTACCAATAAGATTGTTAAACATTGCAAGGAAAGCTACATGTCAGTGGACTGAAATAAATTGAAGACATGTGAAGCCCGTCAACGATTATGTGGAACATAATATATAGTATGTAACTATTTTTAACTACAATTCTACAGAGATTTTTACTGATTCCTCTCAAGAGTAGTACACTCGGCGTCAAAAAAATCGCACATCCGAAAAAAATAATTTAAATACTATTTTAACACAACAGGCCAATGGCAATGTTGTGGTTTGAGGGTATCATTCGAAAGGTAATTTCATTAGCTTTCAGGAATTTTAATTGAATTTTACTTTTATAACGAGACGAAAGAGAAATTAAAGAAAAAGACAGGGTATGTACAAATTTACAAATTAATAATTTAAAAAAAAAAAACTTAATAAATACAAAAAGTTCTTAAAACCTAGTGTTACCCCCCCCTTGCCTTGATAACGGCTTCCATGCGATCTTTCATGGTCCTTACAAGGGTCGCAACAGCCTCTTGGGGTATTTGTTCCCACTCTTCAAGTACCGCATCTTGGAGCTCTTGAAGAGTGGTTGGAGCTGGATCTCGAGCTCTTGCACGCTCCGTTTTAGGTCATCCCAGAGATGTTCTATTGGGTTAAGATCTGGACTTCGTGCTGGCCAATACATAACAGGGATATCGACCTCCTGTAAATAATCCCGTACAATAGCCGCGGTGCGGCAACGAGCATTACCATGCATTAACATGAATCCATCACCGACATAACCAGCATACGGGACCACATGTTCCTTTAGGTTTTCAGTAATGTACCGACCAGCATTTAATGACCGTTGGCCACGGCCACCCCGAGTCCGGGAAACGCACACAAGTTCCGTTTTCCCGTCGACGGATATGCCGCCCCAAAACATACACGAGCCACCCCCATATTCGACGGATTCTTCGAAGCAGGGTTGTGTGAACCTCTCCCCCTGTCTTCTGTAGACCCTTCTACGTCTGTCATTGCAGAAGAGACAGACCCTCGTCTCATCAGAGAAGAGTACGGTCCGCCACTGTTCTAGAGTCCACTCGCAATGATTGCGAGCAAACTGTGGTGAACTCTGAGATGCTGTGCAGTAAGTTTTGGACCTTTAGCAGGTCTATGGGCTGTTAAACTCTTTTCGTGTAACCTTCTTCTTATCGTAGAAACACTCACAGATGTTCTCAGAGTTGATCGAAGCTGTTGTTGCAACTCAACAGCATTTGTAAAACGGTTTCGTAAAGATGTCTTAATGATGAAACGGTCATCTCTTTCTGATGTGCACCGTTTTCTTCCAGATCCCGATTTTCTAACATAACCACCAGTCTGCTGAAAACGTTGGAACACCCGTCGAACTGAAAAACGGGACAGGTTCAACTGTCGAGCAACGTCACACTGACCCATATTTCATCCAGATCGACCCTTTTATACTCTTTTTAGGTGGTGTAACTAGCGTCCTTACTAACGAGCATTTGACAGTGTTTATTTTTGACGCTCTATAATGATAAATGTTTTAATGATTTCATGATTTTCTTATTAATAATGTAAAGCTCTACAAATACCCATTTCAAACATACCAATATTTATATAAATATAATTCGTTTCTAGCCATTACCGCCATTTTTCGCGCAAACTCAGAGAGGTGCGATTTTTGTGACGCTGAGTGTATTTCCCAAACCAGTAGTAAAACTATATATATATATATATATATATATATATATATATATATATATATTTTCATCACCTATATAATGTCCATTTAAATCTAAAATATTACTATAAAATGGTACACTGTTAAAACAAAAAAAAAACTAAAAATAAAATCATATAATTAAGTACATAATACAGCATACTCTCGTTAATTCGAAACTCGAAGGACTCTTTAAAATATTACGAATTATTGAGTGTTCGAATTTTAAATAGTTCGAAATTTTTGAGAGAAAATGAATATAACTTCGAATTGTTAAGTGTTGATCAATTATTATTTATTAACTGCTGTTCTCTGATAATTTGAACCTCTCTATAATTCAAAGTTATCACAAGTTCCCTACAAAATCTCTTTATAATTCTAACTAAATCAATACATTTTTATGCACTTGGTAATTCGAATGAAAAAATCAATGCTACGTAACAAACCGGCGCGATTCGAACTCATCGGCGTCAAGCACTTGGCAATTCAAAGTTGCAGAAAGAAAGACAGAAAGATTTAAGCACATCTAGTGCTCGTTTTAGAATCTCTCGACTAGCAGCTAACTGAATATCACAGTTCTGACAGCTATTTTACTGATTGACAATGCATGGAGAGCGGTACCACCCCTAACTATTCTCAACTGCTTCAAAAATCCGGTTTCAGAAAAGATCAGGAAAATCTTCCAATAATTATGGATAATGAAGAACCAGCAACAGAACCACTAGTTGAAATCAGCGGTGTGAGTTTTTCCGACTTTGTTCAAGTGTATGTAATGTTGCTGTCTCAGGTTCACTAACCATGGCAAAATTTTATATGTGACAGATACGAATGGAAAAAGCAACAATGAAGATGAAGATAATAAATCAGAACCTTTGACAGAGGTGTCAGTTAAGGAAGCAAGAGCCTCATTCGATACATTACAAAGCTTCTGTCTACAATACGAAAGTCGACTGTATTATAATTATGCTTAGAAAAAAAGCAGCAATTAAAGAAACCAAATAACATAAAATGAGCATGAGTTTTAAAAAACTGAGCTTCATTAAGGGTATGTTCCGAAATCAAATTACATGAATCGACGCTATACTGGTGATTCGTTCCAAAACATTGGACAGTATATGACTGTCATACTTTTGTGCCATTTGGAAAAGTGTTGGCGATTATTTTGTCATTTTGTGCTCCAAAAATCATTATATCCTCCTAATGGATATACCATCGATTATTCTACAATTTTTTGTATTTGAATAAATAGAAACAAATTCTGGCATGCTTCATTCGGCAAACACACAATTAAAAATTGTTTTATTATGACCGGATATCCGACACAATATGGCGGCGGCACGCTAGTACAATAAAGTGTCAAATGATGAAGTCATTTGCATTGGACAGTACACTGCATTGTATTTCGGAACATACCCTAAAATTATTGTTATGTAGAATCTTACTGTCATTCTTTTCTCGGGGTTCACTTCTATCATGCCACGAAGAAGCTGCTGGCAATCAGGTGGTACAAAATGTGGTACATGAAATACTCCTCGCTTCACCTGAAAATATAAATACTTTGATTAAAACTACTTTTATTTATTTTATCAAATTAAATGCGATAAAATCTGTAAAAGTAGTTTTAATAAATGTGTAGTGTTCGCGTAAATATAAGAAATCATTATATAAATACATTGTAAGTTAAGTGTTTATATTATCAGATATTATAATGTGGAACAATTCCTGCGACAAACACAAGAAAATGCACGGCCAGTGTTTCTTTGCAGGGACAGTGGATTAAATAAATCAAAAAGAACTTGTTCTTCGACAAATCGAGACTATTCATTGAATGCAGTCTTATAGTTCTTCTTACTAGATTGTGATGCGGTCAAATGAGAGGTTCTGAAGGCCAAGATATAAGAGCAGCACAGATATTATGTTCAAAGTTAATTTAGTTTACTACAGAAGCGTAACATAGAAATCAAATTCCTATAGATTTTAGGACAATTTAAAACAACTCATTTAGTTAAAAACAATTTTTCAAGCTATTGTACCTTTTCGAGTAATTGCCTCAAGTTGTCGTCATCGAAGGGCAATGCTCCAACGAGAAGAGCGTATAAAATAACTCCGCAAGACCAGACATCAGCTCGCCTTCCATCATATTTTTCACCCTAAAAATTTAAATTTTATTATATTCAAAATCAAAAGTCAAAACATTTTATGTAAATAAGATTAACCAAAGAGCGAAGACTTTTTTTAATTATTAAGAAGAAAAACTATACGCATACAGCCTAATTTAGGTTATTGTATATTGCTTATAAAATGTTTCACAAAATGAGTTTTTAACGATACAATAATAAGCAGCTAACATCGTCTTTGTTATTCACTTCTAATTTACATACGCAGACATTTAATAAAACAGTTGCATCACTTTTGTATCATAATCACTTCAAATATTGTTACATAGATTACCGTGTATGTACAATAGCTGGTACTATGATAGCTTTGATATATTTCGTGTGTAGTAGACAAGTAATAATTCTCTAAAAATACTGAACACTGCAATTGCAATATTGTGGTTCATCCTTGCGCATAGGTCTTAGGCCCGCCCCATACTACATACGGAATTCCGTTACCGAGTTCCGAACTAACGGGTCGGCCACACACATGCGGAAACCCGCAATTATTTGAACGGAAAATTATCGTAGGTGTGTCTCGGAGCGGGACCTTGATCTTATATTATTATTATATTTAGATTTTATCGCTGAAAATGTAAAAAAATTAAGAATTGATAATTGTGCCATGTATTTCTGCACCAATACATACCTCTGAAATAAATAAATGAAATGGAGGAAATAGGGTCTGAAGAATTTTCATTAATTTATTAATGGCTCCCAATGACAGTTAAACAATATAATGTTAGTAAAAATTGTTTAAGTAATTAAAACTAATGTAATCCGTCAATTATAGGTGATTACAACACTCATTATATAAGTGAGAGATATAAATCAAATCAAATCAAAACAATTTACTGTGAACAGCTGATTTTAAAATGATTTACAAAGAAGAACTTCAGTGGCGCCGAGATCACTATTTACCATTTGGCGTACAATATAAAGAAAAGGATAGTATTATATAATTTTCTCAATATGCAAATAAATTAAACACTTATAAAATTATTAGCTTTGTTACATTTATTTATATATTTATATAATTTAAGACGGCTATGATTTACTTATTTAATGTATAGATCATTTATAGTGAAAATAAGGTCATTCTCTGATCATGACAAACTAGCATACTAGTAGTGTGTAGTAGTGTATTTAATAGAAATACTACTATTGCTATTTTATATCACATATTGCTCTTATAAATTGCATTTGTGCCCCGAATATTGTCTTTATATTATTGCCATTAACCCACAAATATAATATAAATATCCCATTAATATTTTATATCTAATAATTGCTGCTACATATTCGTGATTAGCTGTCAATAATGATTCTTTGTTTAATGATTTGTTCAGTCTGAATAAAGTGTAAAATAAATTGGCCACTTTTTAAAACGGTGCATTCAATGTGTTCTCTTTTTCACTCGAAGTGAACTCTGAAAAGAATATATCAATACACTTTCAAAGGAAACGCTCCCTCAAGCGACGAAACCTAAATCCGAAAAATTCTCCAAGCACGATCACCCTATTCGGCCGTCAGATCCCGTGGCAATTAACCGCCAAACCGACCTTAGAGTTACATTCGACCACTCCATGACCTTTTCGAAACACATTCGCACCGTCTGAAATCGTGCCAAATTCGTCACTAGTCGCCTCCACCCGCTAGTTAACAGTAAGAGCAAACTGTCCCTAAGACACAAGCTCCACCTCTTATAACTTGCGTAAGACCTATCATGTCCTATGCATAGTAGCCTACACACACGCGGCTCGTAAACAATTGTACGATATCCAAGTCACCGGAGTTCGGTGGTACCAGCGAAGCTCGGACTTGCATAGAGATTGTCAACCTCCGACGATCTCTGAATATTTCAAGGAAATGTCTCGGCGCTACTTTGAGAGTGCTGAGACACGTTCCAATCCGCTAGTAGTAAACGCAGCAACCTACCCTCCAACTCCAAACGTTAAGTAAGGTCTCCAGAGGCTCCGTAACGTTTTAATCGAACCCCCAGTTCCACTAAATCCCGACGACAAAAATGTCACACATAGACACTACACATTCACCTAATGCCACAAACACTGTTAGGACAATGGATGGGACACAACGAGTCACACCGGTACACCCGTCCCCGTCCCCGGGCGGTTCTCACCGCACAGAATATCGAACGACACGAGTTAGCCTGTACACTGTTATAGGAGACATCGTTACGCAAGTAACGATGCGTGAAATGATTCAAACTAACTTTTTACAGCCTGCAGCCTAAAGGCCGTAGGCTGGGGGCCTGCCACCTACGATGCTCTAGAAGCCAAAAAGATTAACAGCATTAATATCATCAGAAACAAGACTCTCTTTTTAGGGTTCCGTAGTCAACTAGGAACCCTTATAGTTTCGCCATGTCTGTCTGTCCGTCTGTCCATCCTCGCTTAATCTCTGTGACCGTTAGCACTAGAAAGCTGAAATTTGGTACCAATATGTGTATCAATCACGCCGACAAAGTGGTAAAATAAAAATTGGAAAAAAATGTTTTATTAGGGTAGCCCCCCTATATGTAAAGTGGGAAGTGATTTTTTTTTTAATTTCAACCCTAACGTGTGATATATTGTTGGAAAAGTATTTGAAAATGAATAGGGGTTTACTAAAATCATTTTTTGATAATGTCAATAATTTCGGAAATAAACGCTCCAAAAGTAAAAAACAATGTGTCCCCCCCCCCCTCTAACTTTTGAACCATAAATTTAGAAAATATGAAAAAAGTAGAACTTTATAAGGACTTTCTAGGAAAATCATTTTGAACTTGGATGGAAACAACAGTACCCACTACCGGGAGCAGTTGCAGGAGCGCGGAGCGCGGCTGGAGCGCGAACATAATGGATACCCACCTTTAAACTCATAAGTGGGAACACATTGTGACGGACGGGAAACTACGGAACCCTACACTGAGCGTGGCCCGACACGCTCTTGGCCGGTTTTTCAAATTGCTATTGACGTAGGTGTCAAGGAATTTAGTCGTAGATGTTTTAGAGATTTCCTACCTTTTTATATTTAAATTGATATTTATTTATTTACTTATCCTTTATTATACACCCTATAATGAGAGACTATGATTATGACATTCTTTGCCAGTCAACCCTGGATGATTTGAGAAACTGTGGCAGGTGTAACCAATCACTTTATATATTTAATAAATAAGTAATAAAGATATAAGATAAAACACAGATAAATAGAACGTATAGAATATAGTAAGTAAAAATATACATACCTACTTAATATCTACTATATAATATAGAATAAACTTTGAGTATTAAACCAAAGGAGACGGCACCGCAAAGCATACCCCTTTGTAAAAGGTACGAGAGTCCGACTCATAGCCGTTATGTAAAACTAGATGCTCCATGTCGTGCACCTATACGCAAGTGATCGTGATAGTCAATTAAGTTCCGACAAAAAAAAAACAAATTGCATTGTATTTTCGTGTCAAAAAAAAATCAAAACCGTCAAATCTACAAAATGACAACGTGAGTTTTCATCTGTGAATATTTTTAACGTAATATAATCGTTAAAACTCGTATTTTATGAATATTTTCGCAAAATACCAAGTGTTGCTAGCATAGTTCATTAAGTGAAAAATAAGCGATTTTAAAATGTATATGTCGGAAAGTACAACACGATAATCCAATTGTGTGGGAAATGTTAATTACCAATTAAAAATGGTAAAAGTGTGAGAACTAATGTTTAACTTGCTCTCTTGCTTGCGCAATTTATCATTATCAATAATAGGACAGCGTAACGCACTATACATTCAGCATAGAGTAATTACAGTTTGACCATACCGCAGTTTGTCCCCATCACAATTACACACCAGTGCAATGTGAAGGACACAACTACATGATAACACCAAATTATGAAAACCAACACCAACCTTACCCATCTCAACGTAACCAGCACAGCCTCTCAGCAACACCATCCTCCTTGTCTGCACCAAAAGAATCACCACAAGAACACAGACAGAACAGACAGGACGGACAGAACAACGACTATCTTAGCACGCGTAGAATGACTTCACTCGTGAAACGACTCAAGCGGAATCTCTCGCGCTCTGCCCCTACACTGAACTTTATACTGCACAAACGAGTGGGAGGGTTTCTCGATATACCCTCAATTTCAACTAGTCACTAGATCCAACCGGCATTTTAAAGATGCGCCTACATATATGATTTACTACCCAAAATAAATATATTTACGAAAATTTATTAATTTATATAAATTTATTAATTTATATTTATTATATTTATACTAGCGGACCCGACAGACTTCGTCCTGTCAAAAAGATTTGTAATGTGGCAGTTTTTTGTTCCTACGTATTTTATAGTTGGGGCAAAATATTCTCCTGAACAGAACCGTCACCCTGGTGATGGGCGTTGTGAATAAAAAATAATTAAATAAAACATAATAACGATATAAAAAGTATTCGCTTTATTGTTAATAATGTGAATCATAATTATTAACAAAAAATAGTTTTATTATCATTGTAGTGCTTTATGATATACGATGTTTTTTGTTTGATTACCTGGCGCATAGACAAACAAATCTGATGGTTTTCCAACACGGTAACATGCAACATACAATTGACCATGTGAGAAACATGGGTTTTCCAGATTAATACCACAAACACTTAATGATTTCCCCTGGGACTTGTTTATGGTCATAGCAAAAGCAAGCCGCACTGGAAACTGTAATCGTTTAAACTGAAATGGCACATCAGTCGGAATCATTGGGATGCGCGGTATGAAAACATCTTCTCCTTTATACTTTCCTTTAGGTATAGTTGCTTCTATCAAGTTGTTTAGTAATTTTTTTTATCGCTAACCGTGTTCCGTTGCAAAGACGCGGTTGGTTGATATTTCGCAACATTATAACAACCGATCCAACCTTTAATTGAAGATTGTGAGGTGGCAATCTTGGCAATCCAGTGAGTTTAAAAATTCCGGTGGATAGTTGACTACATCATCTTGGTTAGTAGCCGAATCAACTGATTTATATATCCTCGATTCGCATGTAATTTGTTCTTGAATTTTGAAATTTAATTCATTTACATCAGTGTTTTTTGCAGCCAATATAGCTCGTTCCCTCAACCAATCATGGTTTCTGTAATTTTGAGAAACATTTGGAAACACCTTCTGAATGAGTTCATCTTTTGATCGAGTTAACTGACAAAAACTTTGAGGAAAGTTAATGTAGCCAGTCAACGTGTCTATAGGGATTTTGCCATTACCAATGTCAATGAGTTGTTTAGAGAATATGTTTCCAGATTGGTCATTTTGCAACTCGACACGCATATTCTTGCTTAAATGAAGTACTTTGACATGTTTCCACAAATTGGAGGATTTTAGACATGCATTAAGTTCATCTGCTGGCGTTGATCGTGGAATCGCTGGCAATGTTTGACGAAAATCTCCTGCTAATAAAATCAATGCACCACCAAATCGGTTATAATTGCTCCGTAGATCTTTTAAGGTTCTGTCTAAAGCCTCCAAAGATTTTTTATGTGCCATCGTGCATTCAAACCAAACAATAATTTTACATTGCTGCAAAACCTTTGCCATTGCAGAGTTCTTCGAATTGTTGCAGGTTGTAGTTTCATTGCTTTGCATATTTAATGGCAATTTTAGTGCTGAATGGGCTGTTCAACCACCTTCAAGCAAAGTTGCT